GAGGCCAGGAACTCAAGATCAGCCTGCAACATAGGGAGAGTCCCCATCTCTACAAAATATTAAAAACTTAGCTAGGCATGGTGGTGACCTGGGCGTGGGTGATATGCACTTGAGAGGCCGAGGCGGGAAATTCACTTGAGGCCAGGTGTTCGAGACCAGCCTGGGCAGTACAGTGAGACCCCCATCTCTAAAAAAAAAAAGGTTTTAAAGTAGCCAGGCATGGTGGTGCATGCCTGTAGTCTTAGCTACTCAGGAGGCCGAGGCAAGAGGATCCACTGAGCCCAGGAGTTCAAGGCTACAGTGAGCTATGATCACGCCACTTCACTTCAGCCTGGGTGATAGAGCAAGATCCTGTCTTTTTAAAAAAATAATCTCATAGCCTGGTGACCGTTCTCCCTCAAGCCAGGCTCCTGGCTGTCAGCTAGCTCCTCTCCCGACCTCAGTCTGTTCAGGGGCTCTGCCTGTCATTACAGAGGGCTCTGTGTGCCTTGATCTTGCTGGTGTGCATCCATGCACACATGAGGAGACTGAGGCTCAGGGACGGTGAGGTACATAGTTTCACACCTAAGTTAACAGTGGCCAGGCAGGAAGGGCACAACCAGACTTGGACCCCTCAGGTGGCTGGCACAGGAGGGACCAGACACCAGGGTCCCCTCTGCTTCCCCTCCCCTTATCCTGGCTGCAGGCTCAGCCCACAGAGAGCAGACCCTGCTGTGCTCCTTGGACAGAGCTTCCTGTCCATCCCCACATCCCCCACTTTCTGTGATGCAACTTTCCCTCTTTCCTTCCCCTGGGCTTGGGACAGGGCTTAGGACACACCAGGCAGGGACTGCCATGGACAAAGCAGGAAGTGGAACATTGGAGGTCTATAGACCTGGGCTCTAATTCTGGCCCTGCCCCGCCTTTGCTGAATGACCCTGGGCAAGTTATGTCACCTCCTGGAACCTCACCTTTCCCATCTACCAAATGGGGGTGACAGCAGTGTGTCGGGGGGTGGAGTGGTATCCACTAAGTGGTTGCTGAGTAGGGTCAGTTAGATGCTCTGAAGAGGCAGGCCCCTGCCCTGGGCCTGGCTCCTAACACGGGCTCAAAAGTAAAACTAGGAGGGATGGCCCAAGGTTCAGTGGCAGGCAGCACCCAGCACGTGTGGCAGGGACCTGGCAAGCTTTGAGAAATAGCAAATGGGGGCTGGGCTCAGCGGCTCACACCTGTAATCCCAACACTTTGGAAGGCCGAGGTGGGTGGATCGCTTGAAGTAGGGAGTTTGAGACCAGCCTGGCCAACATGGTGAAAAATGCAAAAATTACTTGAGTGTGGTGGCGTGCAGCTGTAATCCCAGCTATTCGAGAGGCTAAGGCAGGAGAATCACTTGAACCCAGGAGGCGGAGGTTGTAATGAGCTGAGATTGTACCAATGCACTCCAGCCTGGGCAACATAGGGAGATTCCGTCTCAAAAACAAACAAACAAAAGAGCAAATGGGAGAATGAAATGAGGGAGTGAATGAGTGAACCAATAATGGTGTGGGGGGGTGGAGGAACTGTCCTGGGCGGGGCCAGGTGGAGCCTGATTGGCGGGGCGGGGAAGCTGGTCTGCCCCCTGCTGCTGGGCCTGGACCTCAGCGCCTCCAGTAGTGCAGCCTCCCTGATTACGGAAGGTACCCTGGTGAGTGGGGCTGCCGGGGTGAGTCCTTGGGATTTCCAGAGGGCAAGCCACAGTAATCCTAATCCCTCCTCATCTTAGTGTCAGAGAAACTGAGGCCCAGAGTTTTGGACTATGATCTTGTCCACGACTCGGCCCTGTTTGCTGCTGCGTCACTGAGAAGTTGGAGGCTGACAGGGGTGCTTGAGGCTGAGGCAGGTTTGTGCTTTGTGGGCGGCCCAGCCCCCAGTCCTTTTGGGGTTGAAGGCAGGCCCCCCCGGGCCTCAGGAGGGGTACAGCTAACACTCTAAGTGATGACTATGTGCTGGTTGCTTTGCTTAGAAAATTTCTCCAGAGAGCAGCTAGGGGCGCCTCCAGCTTTCCCATTTTACAGATGAGAAACTGAGACTCCATGAGGGCTCTCATTTATCTGAAATCACAGGGCTGGATTGAAACAGGCCTGGGGCCCCTCCATGGCTGGCGGGTTTATTCCGCTTTGCAAGCTTTCTGATTTGTTACTTAAATGTGTTAAGTAACAAATTAACTAACACATTTGTTAAGGTGTTGACAATTAATTGCCTTTTTTTGAGATGGGGCCTCACTCTGGTTACCCAGGCTGAAGTGAAGTGGCGTGACCTTGGCTCGAGGTAACCTCTGCCAACCTCTGCCCCCCAGGCTCAAGCAATCCTCCCACCTCAGCATAACTTTTCCAGGGCATAGTGTGTGCGACCCTCCCCCAGGGTGGCTGACTGGCTTCTGCCTCCAGGGACAGTGGTGATAAAGCCATGCATGTAGTTATTAGCACATGTGACTTTTCCTGGCCTCAGGAGCCCAGGGCACAGTGCGGTGTGAGCCAGGACAGGAGTGGAAAGTTCGGGACAAGAGTAGAAAGTTTGGGCACCTGGTTTTGCAGCTAAGGTAAGGTGGGAAGACCCTCCAAGCCGCAGCTCTCTCCTGGACTCCAGTTCCTCAGCCTGAACTGCCCCCGTCACAGTCCGCGTCTCAGTCCCCTGCTGATAGGGTTGCCACGCTTAGATCATCCCCCAAAACAAACAAATAACAACAGGCTGGGCACAGTGGCTCTTGCCTGTAATCCCAGCACTTTGGGAGGCTGAGGTGGGAGGATCGCTTGAGTCCAGGAGTTCAATACCAGCCTGGGCATCTCAAAAATAATAATATAAAAAATGTTAAAAAATATATAAAAATAGGCCAGGCGCAGTGGCTCACACCTGTAACTCCAGCACTTTGGGGGGCCGAGGTGAACAGATCACGAGGTCAGGAGATCAAGACGATCCTGGCCAACATGGTGAAACTCCATCTCTACGGAAAATACAAAAATTAGCTGGGTGTGGTGGCGTGTGCCTGTAATCCCAGCTACTCGGGAGGCTGAGGCAGGAGAATCACTTGAACCAGGGAGTGGGAGGTTGCAGTGAGCCGAGATCACACCACAGCACTCCAGCCTGGTGACAGAGCGAGACTCTGTCTCAAAAAAATAAACGTATAAAAATGAAAAATAAAATAAGGAAATAACAATAACAAAACCTCCAGGACATCTAGTTAAACTTGAAGTTTGATTTTTTTTTTTTTTTTTTTTTTGAGACAGAGTCTCACTCTGTTGCCCAGGCTGGAGTGCAGTGACACCATCTCAGCTCACTGCAACCTCTACCTCCTGGGTTCAAGCGATTCTTCTGTCTCAGCCTCCTGAGTAACTGGGACTGTAGACACATGCCACCATGCCCAGCTAATTTTTGCATTTTTAGTAGAGACAGAATTTCACCATATTGGTCAGGCTTGTCTCAAACTCCTGACCTCAGGTGATCCACCCTCCTTGGCCTCCCAAAGTGCTGGGATTACAGGCATGAGCCACCGCACCCAGCCTTGGAATAATTTTTAGTAGAACTATGTCCCATGCAATATTTGGAATATACTTACACTGTAAAAAATTGTATTCACTGTTTATCTGAAATTTGAATTTAACTGGGCAACCCTACCAGCTGGCTTTGGAAAGGGGGTGGGTGTGTGGGCAGACACCTGGCCAGCTGTGTGACCTGAGCCTTCTTCCCAGCTGTGAGCCTCAGTTTCTCCATCAGCCACCCCTATAGACTCTAGGGGCACAAGGGCCAGTGAGGAGAGAAGAACCCTGGCTCTTACTGGGTGCCTCACCTGTACCACTGTGGGATGGGTGGCACAGGGGACAGGTAGGGCTGGCTGTGCCTTCTGAAAGGTGAAGGATTCAGACCTCAGAGAGCCCTTGGCCTTCCCTGTAGACAGCCCTGGCCCAGGCCTGGGGGGCGGGGAGTGTGGCACAGGGCAGGGGGAGAGGGTCTTCTTTTCCTTCTTATTTATTGATTTATTTATTTGAGACAGGGTCTCACTGTGTCATCCAGAGCTGGAGTGCAGCGGCACAGTCATGGCTCACTGGAACTCAGGCTCAAGCAATCCTCCCGCCTCAGCCTTCCAAGTAACTAGGACTACAGGCATGTGCCACCACGCCTGGTGAATTTTTTTAAATTTTGTTTTGTAGAGATAGGGTCTCACCATATGCCTAGGCTGGTCTTGAACTCCTGGCTCAAGCACTCCGCCTGCCTCATCCTCCCAAAGTGCTGGGATGACAGGTGTGAGCCACTGTGCCCAGCCTTTTTCCTTTTGCCTTAGAAAAGTGTTTCATAGTTGGGCGCGATGGCTCACATCTGTCATCCCAGTAATTTGGGAGGCCAAGGCGGGCGGATTGCTTGAGCCCAGGAGTTCGAGACCAGCCTGGGCAACGTGGCGAAACTGTGTCTCTCTATTTTTAAAAAATTAAAGTATAAAAAAAGGAAATAATTTCATTATCATGCCCTAAAATGTGTAAAAAATAAGATAACTTCAGGATCTGGGAGAATTTGGAGTACAATTGAAGAAGTTTTAAAATACATATTTTTATAAAAAAATACAAGAAAAAGAAACAGAAGAAAAAATAACTAAAAATAAGGTAACGAGTATTAGTTATCTTATTTTTTCTTCTGTTTATTTTTCTTTTATTTCTTATCAACCAGCTTAAAAATTAAAAGGAGTGGAAAGTTTGGGGCCCTGGTTCTGCTACCTGGTTCATTTTAATTTTTAAATTTTAACCTTCTCCCTGCCCCATTCCCCAGCCTCTCTTTGAGTTGCTTCACCCACCATCTCTGTCTGCAACCCTGGGGCTGTCTTTTTCCAGGTGGTTGTCTTTCTATCTCTCCAGTGTCTCTCTGTCCCTGTCTGGACCCTGCTGGGGGCCACAGAGCAGGCAAAGACAGGTCTCAGCTGCCATGCCTGGGCAGCCTTGGGGGCTCCCTGGGGCCAGTTTCCTGACACTTGCCCCACTCTGTGCTGCCCCCCGCAGGTGTCTGAGATGCTGCCACCGCAGAAGAAGCCCTGGGAGTCCATGGCTAAGGGGCTGGTGCTGGGCGCGCTCTTTACCAGTTTCCTGCTGCTGGTGTACTCCTATGCCGTGCCCCCGCTGCATGCTGGCCTGGCCTCCACGTGAGTGGCCCAGCTGGGCAGATGATGGGTGTAGGTGGGGGAGGGATGGCACCCCACCCATGGGGCCCTGTAATTACCACAGGGCCTGCCCAGTGACCTTGGACAGCCACCCTGCACCCTGCACCATGCTGTGCCAGACAGAAATTCCACTGACGGCAGAGCTCGCCGTGTAACCCTGAGCCTTGGTGTGCCCATCTGTGAAGTGGGGATAAAAACAGAGCCTTTCGGCTGGGCGCAGTGACTCACGCCTGTAATCTCAGCATTTTGGGAGGCCCAGGCAGGCAGATCACCTGAGGTCAGGAGTTCGAGACCAGCCTGACCAACATGGTGAAACCCCATCTCTACTAAAAATACAAAAATTAGCTGGGCATGGTGGTGTGTGTCTGTAATCCCAGCTACTTGGGAGGCTGAGGCAGGAGAATTGCTTGAACCCGGAAGGCAGAAGTTGCAGTGAGCCGAGATGGCACCACTGCACTCCAACCTGGGCAACAGAGTAGACTGTCTCAAAACAACAACAACAACAACAACAACAACAACAAAACAGAGCCTTCCTCATAGGACATGAGAATCAGGTAACACTGTCTGTACAGGGCTTAGATTGGCATCATCTGAGATGCCAATGGAGACCTGGGGGGGTGACCTGTCCATGGATTCAAATGGGTCCGTCTGACTCCAGGCCCAGCTCCTGAGAACCAGGCTCTCCCGCTTCCTCATGGGTTGCTCTGCACAGACCCGGCACAGCCTGTAGCTGGTACAATACCAGTGCTTGGTGATACTAAGTTGAAACAGAGGAAACTGCAAATTTCTGCAAAACTGACCATTTTTGTCCTATAAAATGGCAATTTCATGTGGCCCAAGCAGCTACTGATTCATGGTACATGTAACACAGTGGCCATGAATGAGGCCTGTGTGCCTCATCTCACAACACTGTGAATAGGGCCTATTATTGTACCCATTTCACAGAAGAGGAAACTGAGGCCAGAGAGGCCAAACCACCCGCGCAGGCACCCAGCCTGGACTCAGGCTCCACAGGTCCCACTATCCCAGCTCTTTTGCCACCACTGTCCCCAACAATCTCCCTCTCTAGCTACCAGAGTCCTGAGGGTCCCAGCACCCCCCTGAGGCTCTCCCCACCTCTCTGTCCCCAGCAGGACCCCAGAGGCCGCAGCGTCCTGCTCTCCGCCTGTGCTTGAGCCAGAGGCAGTGAACCGCGAAAACGGCTCGGCGGGAGAGTGCCAGCCGCGGCGCAACATCGTGTTTTTGAAGACGCACAAGACGGCCAGCAGCACCCTGCTAAACATCCTGTTCCGCTTCGGCCAGAAGCACCGGCTCAAGTTCGCCTTTCCCAACGGCCGCAACGACTTCGACTACCCGACCTTCTTCGCCCGCAGCCTGGTGCAGGACTACCGTCCCGGGGCCTGCTTCAACATCATTTGCAACCACATGCGCTTCCACTACGACGAGGTGCGCGGCCTGGTGCCGCCCAACGCCATCTTCATCACAGTGCTCCGCGACCCCGCCCGCCTGTTCGAGTCCTCCTTCCACTACTTCGGGCCGGTGGTGCCCCTCACGTGGAAGCTCTCGGGCGGCGACAAGCTGGCCGAGTTCCTGCAAGACCCGGATCGCTACTACGACCCCAACGGCTTCAATGCCCACTACCTCCGAAACCTGCTCTTCTTCGACCTGGGCTATGACAACAGCCTGGACCCCGGCAGCCCGCAGGTGCAGGAGCACATCCTGGAGGTGGAGCGCCGCTTCCACCTGGTGCTCCTTCAGGAGTACTTCGACGAGTCGCTGGTGCTGCTGAAGGACCTGCTGTGCTGGGAGCTGGAGGACGTGCTCTACTTCAAGCTCAACGCCCGCCGCGACTCGCCAGTGCCGCGGCTCTCCGGGGAGATGTACGGGCGCGCCACCGCCTGGAACATGTTAGACGCCCACCTCTACCGCCACTTCAACGCCAGCTTCTGGCGCAAGGTGGAGGCCTTCGGGCAGGAGCGCATGGCCCGCGAGGTGGCAGCCCTGCGCCATGCCAATGAGCGCATGCGGACCATCTGCATCGACGGGGGCCACGCCGTGGACGCCGCCGCCATCCAGGACGAGGCCATGCAGCCCTGGCAGCCGCTGGGCGCCAAGTCCATCTTGGGCTACAACCTCAAGAAGAGCATCGGGCAGCGGCACGCGCAGCTCTGCCGGCGCATGCTCACGCCTGAGATCCAGTACCTGATGGACCTCGGCGCCAACCTGTGGGTCACCAAGCTCTGGAAGTTCATTCGCGATTTCCTGCGGTGGTGACGTCCCACCGCCCAGCGGCTTGCCTGCCTGCTCGCTCCCTACGAAGGGGCTGAGCAGGACGCCGCTGGTGCTGGCCGCCCCCAGCCCCCTCCTGGTGCCACCTCGGACCCCGGGGTGAGGGGGGTGCTTCCTGGGGGGACGCAGCCAGCCAAGACTGGGCCCACGCACACAGAGAGGGCCTAACCGATATCAGTATTTAACTAATTATACCGGTTTTTATTAAACCCCTTTCCCTCCCCGAAAAAGAATGTTCTATTTCTGCCTCCCCTTAAAGGGGAGACCTCAGAAGTAAAGGAATTTGATGTTGTGTTTTTGTTAATCAGCCTCAGTGGTGGTGACTTGGGGTGGGGGTTGGCGTGGGGGGAACCCAAAAGACCACAGTGGTGCCTGGGTGAGTCTGTAGGCAGAGCCCAGTGGGTGGCAGGGATTTGATGTGTATTTGCTATGTGCTATAGTCCTATGTGGTTCAGGGACTCCCATGAGCTTCCAAGACCTGGAAAAGCGCATGTGTATGTGTGCCTGTGTGTGCATACGTGTGCGTGTGTGCATGTGTGTGTGATCATCCTAAGGAGTACAACAGTTACTCACTCTGTGTGCCTAGCACTAGGCTAAGGGCATTATTTCAACTCATCTTCACCAAAACCCAGCGACCTGGGGACTGTTACTGTCTCATGCTAGAGACAACGAAGGATGCTCAGAGAGGGACAATCACTTCACCAAGATCACACAGCAAGTGGTAGGATTAGAGTAGGGGGCTGGGTGGGTAGAGGATGTGGCCAGATCAGAATAGAGACAGAGAGAGGGGGAGGAAGAGACAGGGAGGTGGCGGGGGTGGGGCCACTCAGTAGGGCATTGTCAACAAGCCCTGGGCCCAGGCTAAGGGCTTCTTGCACAGACTTCATTAATCCTCAATAACTGAAGTCATTAAAATTACCGTTCCATTTTACAGATGTGGGAATGGACATTCGGGCAGGAGAAGGGATTTGCCTGAGGTCATGTCGCAGGAGGTATCAGACCAGGGACTCAAACCATCTCCCAGGGACCCCAAACCCTTCCCATCTCCAGTGCCTGTCTCTCCCCTCCTCCACCCTCCCCCTCCATCGCTACTGGTCCCTGGCTCCTAGCCTGCCTCACCCTGTCTCTACCTGCCCCTCCCGCTTCTACCCTCCCATCCCAGGCCGCCTTCCACACCTGCCTGTACTCTGCCCGGACAAAAGCCCTGGGCTTCCCCGCTCCACTGTGAGATTCCATTCAATTAATCAAAAAAAAAAAAAAAAAAAAAAAAAATGGTATCCACCAAATCCCTGTTATGTACCCCAGCCCTGAGCTGCTCTGAGCATACAGCAGTCAGCAAGCTAGCCAACTTGTTATTCGTGCCTGCCTGTAATCCCAGCACTTTGGGAGGTTGGGGTGGGCGAATCGAGTGAGCCCAGGAGTTACACCAGGCTCAGCTACATGGCAAAATCCTGTCTCTACAAAAACAAACAAAAATCACCACCAACAAAAAACAAGTTGGTCAATCCCTCCTGGGACTCATATCCAGAGGGGAAGATGGCCGTCAGAAACCAATGCAGGTTGGGTGTGACTGACTAGGATGTGGACACACCCAGCTCTAGCCACTCGCCTCATTCAGCATCCCCAGTGGGAGAGAAAGTCCTGGGGCACAGGACTTCAGTCTTCCAGCTAGCAGCTGGCATCCAGGCCTGAATGGCAGAAGCCACAGTCAGGTGACTCTCTTAATTTTTTTTTTGAGACAGGATCTCACTGTGTTGTCCAGGCTGGTCTCAAACTCCTGGGCTCAAGTGATCCTCCTGCCTCAGCCTCCCCTGAATAGCTGAAGGAGAATACCACTATGCCTGGCTTCAAGTGACTCTTTATTGGAGACCTGTTTGTGTCAGGTTCCAGGCCGGATGCTTGCATACCTTAGCCAAATATCCCAGCTTTTTGACTAAAACTCAGAGAAGTTAAGTGACCTACCCAAAGTCACACAACAAGTTAGTGCCAGAGTCAGAATTCAAGCCCATACCAGTCAGCTATTAACCTCTCACTGGGCTTGGGTTATTGCCTCCTAGGAGTGAGCTTCTGGCCTGAGTAGAGTAGGGAGGAGTTAAGGTGACCAACTGTCCCAGTTTTCTGGAACTATCCTGGTTTTAGCATTGAAACTCCTATTTTCCAGGAAACCCCTCTGTCCCAGCAGTCAGGACAGTCCGTCACCCTGAGAGAGGTTGGACCCCACCAATCCCTTAGAGCCACTGCCTGCACCTTCCTAATGTTCTTTGTGGCAAGAAATAATATTGTTTGCAGCACACCCATGAGACTGTTAATTCGTATGGAGAGAAATAAGGAAAAAAAACTCACTGACAGTAGCTAAGACTATTCACAGGAAAAGATGTTACTGATCCCAAATTCATGAGATAATTGCTCCCACCTTTGGTTTTTTATAGAGATGAGTGGTCTCCAACTCCTGGCCTCAAGCATTCCTTCTCTCTTACCCTCCCAGAGTGTTGGGAATACATGTGTGAGCCACCATGCCTGGCTTTCCTCGCTTTTATTAATCAAAGATAAATGTAACTTAGTGTGCAATATAATATTCTGAGTTTAAGGAATTCCATAGTAATCATATCTCCTCGGGCCCCTAAAGGCGTAATAATTTTATTTATTTATGTATTTATTTTGAGATAGAGTCTCACTCTGTTGCTCAGGCTGGAGTGCAGTGGCATGATCTTGGCTCACTGCAGCCTCAAACTCCTGGGCTCAAGTGATCCTCCTGCCACAGCCTCCCAAGTAGCTAGGACTACAGGCACTCGCCACCACAATTGGCTACTTTTTTCCTTTTTGTAGAAATGGGGTCTTGCTATGTTGCCCAGGCTGATCTCAAACTCCTCGCTTCACACTATCCTCCTGCCTTGGCCTCCCAAAGTGCTGGGGTTATAAGCATGAGCCACTCCACCCAGCCTATTGCATGATTTATTTTTATTATTGTCACCAGTATTTTGAGGCCCTTAAGGATCCAAGGAGAACAAACCTGTCAGACAGCAGGTGTCAGGAATATAAATTACTGCATTGGAATTTACAATCCGCTTGCTTTGTTCTAATAGCATTGTTACAGTTATTAACTCTTTTATTAACAACATTTATATTTTATTTTTATTTGTTTTATTTATTTATTTTTTACATAGAGTCTTGCTCTGTCATCTAGGCTGGAGTGCAGTTGTGCATTCTCAACTCACTGCAACCTCAGTCTGCCGGGTTCAAGCAATTCTCCTGCCTCAGCCTCCTGAGTAGCTGGGATTGCAGGCATGAGCGAGCATACCAGGCTAATTTTTGTATTTTTAGTAGAGATGGAGTTTTGCCATGTTGGGCAGGCTGGTCTCAAACTCCTGGCCTCAAGCGATCCACCTGCCTCAGCCTCCCAAAGTGCTGAGATTACAGGTGTGATCCACTGCACCCAGCTAACATAATTTATATTTCAATAAGTGATGATGGGTACTGAGCCCTACGTCCAGCCCTGTGTAATGTGGAAACATGGGCGATCCCTTTTGCTCCCCCAAGGAAGTGACTGAGATGCAAAGAAGCTGCGCAACCAGCCTCTGCCAGGGTCACAGAGCAAGGCAGCCACTGAGGCAGGATGCAAACCCAGGCAGGTCTGACATCAAGACCGGGGCTCCAGGGCTCCAGACCTGCGGCACCATTCCGAGTTGGCCATCTCAGCCTCAGGACTGATGGACAGTCCACCCTGAAAAAGTATGGGGTCTACAAAGGGCTTTGCTGTCAGCCCTGACTCCTGGCTGGGTTTGGCTGGGGGAATCTACGGTTACCTGGTATCCACTGACCTGATGTGTGAAAACCAGAGCAGGGGTCAGGGCTGTCCCCTGTGAGAAAGTCAGTGGAACCACCTGTTCCTTTCTGTTGTGGGTTGAACTGTATCCCTCAAAAAGATATGATGAAGCCCTCACCCCCTGCTCCTGTGAATGTGACTTTATTTGAAAATACATCACTTGAGGCCAGGAGTTTGAGACCAGCCTGGGCAATAGAGTGAGACCACCACCCCACAATTCTCTACAAAAAATAGAAAATAAAACTAGCTGGGCATGGTGGCGCACACCTGTAGTCCCAGCTACTCTGGAGGCTGAGGTGGGAGGGTTGCTGGAACCCAAGAGTTTGAGGCTGCAGTGAGCCAGGATCACACCACTGCACTCCAACCTGGGCAACAGAGTGGGGCTTTGTCTCTTAACAAAAAAAAAAAAGGATATTTGCAAATGTAATCAAGTTAAAATAATGTCATTCAGTGGGCCCTAATCCATTCTGGCTGGTGGCCTTATAAGTAGAAATGGGACAGGCGTGGTAACTCACACCTGTATTCCCAGCACTTTGGGAGCCCAAAGCGGGCAGATCACTTGAGATCAGGAATTTGAGACCAGGTTGACCAATATGGCAAAACCCCGTCTCTACTAAAAAATACAAAAATTAGCTAGGTGTGGTCGTGCACACCTGTAGTCCCAGCTTCTTGGGAGACTGAGGCACGAGAATCACTTGAATCTGGGAGGCGGAGGTTGCAGTGAGCCAAGACTGTGCCATTGCACTTCAGCCTGGGTGACAGAGTGAGACTCTGTCTCAAAAAAAAAAAAAAAAAACCGCCAAGAAGTGGAAATGCCACGTGAGGACAGATGCACAGGACAAATGCCATGTCACAACAGGCAGGGATTGGAGTGAAGCAACTGCAAGCCAAGGAGCGTCAAGGATTGAGGCCACCACCAGAAGCTAGGAATAGGAAAGGGAAAGTTCTACCCAGAGTCTCAGAGGAAACCCAGCTCCGCCAATCCCTTGATTTCAGTCATCATTTCCTGTTATTTTAAGCCACCCAGCAGTTTGTGGCATTTTGTTATGGCAGCCCCAGGAAATTAACAGATTCTATGCCGCACCTCTGTGCTAGGTCCAGCCTCTCCACCTTGCCTGGATCCCCACCTGGCTTCTCTCCAGCAAGCTCACCCTTTCTTTTCTTTTTCTTTCTTTCTTTCCTTCCTTCCTTCCTTCCTTCCTTCCTTCCTTCCTTCCTTCCTTCCTTCCTTCCTTCCTTCCTTCCTTTCTCTTTCCTTCTTTTTCTTTCTTTTCTTTCTTTCTTTTCCTTCCTTCCTTTCTTTTTTCTTTCTCTTTGTTTTCTTTTTTCTTTCTCTCTTTTCTTCTTTCTTTCTCTTTTCTTCTTTCTCTTTCTTTCTTTCTTTCTTTCTTTCTTTCTTTCTTTCTTTCTTTCTTTCTTTCTTTCTTTCTTTCTTTCTTTTCTTTCTCTCTGTCTCTCT